CGTGTGTGTACAGGTATCTGTTGGAGTCCCTGTTTTCTATTATTTGGTATATGTCTAGGCGTGGAATTGTTAGGTCATATGGTAAGTCTGTTTAACTTTTTGAGGAACCACTAAATCAGTATTTTCTTCTTTCTTTTTTCTTTACTCTGAGGTCTACTAGTTTCATTTATTTATTTGTAATTTGTAGGTTCAGGGGTACATGTGCAGGTTTGTTATAGAATTAAATTGTGGTCAGGTGCAGTGGCTCATGCCTGTAATCCCAGCACTTTGGGAGGCTGAGGCGGGTGGATCACAAGGTCAGGAGTTCGAGACCAGTCTGACCAACATGGTGAAACCCTGTCTCTACTAAAAATACAAAAATTAGCCAGGCATGGTGGCGTGCACCTGCAGTCCCAGCTACTTGGGAGGCTGAGGCAGGAGAATCGCTTGAACTCAGGAGGCAGAAGTTGTGGTGAGCAGAGATCACGCCACTGTGCGCCTGGGTGACAGGGAAAGACTCCATCTAAAAAAAAAAAAAAACAGTGAGAACATGCTAAATCCAGCATCCTTTTTCCCTTTTCTGAGTCTCCCTCACCACCGTGGCCAGCTAATTTTTGTATTTTTAGTAGAGCCAGACTTTCACCATGTTGGTTACACTGGTCTTGAACTCCTGACCTCAAGTCATCCGTCTGCCTGGACCTCCCAAATGCTGGGATTACAGGCGTGTGCCACCGAGCCTGGCCAAACCAGTACCTTCTTAAGGTGCTTGATCAATGTCGGTTCTTTCTTCCTCCTTGGACTTTTTCATCTCCCAGAAACCACCCCTGTGGTCTCCATTGCCTACAAAGTCCTAGAAGTTTTCCCCAAAGGCCGCCGGGTGCTCATAACCTGCCATGCACCCCAGGCACCACCGCCCATCACCTATTCCCTCTGTGGAACCAAGAACATCGAGGTGGCCAAGAAGGTGGTGAAGACCCACGAGCCGGCCTCTTTCAACCTCAACATCACACTCAAGTCCAGTCCAGACCTGCTCACCTACTTCTGCCGGGTGGCCACCACCTCAGGTGCCCATGTGGACAGTGCCAGGCTGCAGATGTACTGGGAGCTGTGGTCCAGTGAGTGCGGTGGGGGGCACAGGGCTGAGGAGGCAGGTGGGGTGCAGATCAGTGGGGAGCTCTGGGAGTGGGAATTGTGAACCTTGCTGGGATAAGAGAGAGCCAGGACGTGAGGGTGCGGACAAGGACAGGCTGCCGCCTCCAAGGCCACTCTCAGTCCCCTGGGGCCTTTTCTCAGGACTTGCTGTCCTTGGCTGGGGCCCTGAGGGCACAGTTTCCTGGCAGGGGCCTGAGGGCACAGAAGGAAAGAGCCCAATGGATGGCAGAAATGACTGAGCCCCAGTTGTCATCTCGGACCTCAAGGTGATAAACTAGGCATGTTTGGCTGGGTGCAAATCCCAGCACTGTGGGAGGCCAAGACAGGATGATCGCTGGAGCCCAGGAGTTCGATACCAGCCTGGGCAACACGGCGAAACCCCATTTCTACTAAAAATGCAAAGATTAGCCAGGCGTGGTGGGGTGCACCTGTAGTTCCATCTACTCAGGAGACTGAGGCAGGAGAATTGCTTGAACCCAGGAGGCGGAGGCTGCAGTGAGACAAGATTGTGCCACTGTACTCCAGCCTGGGTAACAGAGCGAGACTCTGTCTCCAAAAAAAAAAGAAAAGAAAAGAAAGTTAGGCACGTTTTGTACATTACTTCACTTGATCTTCACAGCCGTGTCAGGGGTGGGGTCTGAGCCTCTGGGTCTGTAGCTATGGAAGCTAAAGCTCTGGGGTGTTAAGAAAGTTGCCCCAGGGGCTGGGTGTGGTGGCTGACACCTGTAATCCCAGCACTTTGGGAGGCCTATGCGGGTGGATCACTTGAGGTCAGGAGTTCGAGACCAGTCTGGCCAACGTAGTGAAACTGCATCTCTACTAAAAATACAAAAATTAGCTGGGTGTGGTGGCGGGCACCTGTAATCCCAGCTACTACAGGAGTGCGCGGCTGAGGCAAGCAGAGTCACTTGACCGGGAAATGAATGAGATTAGCAGTGTAGCCGACATAGGTCATGCACATGCACACAGCCATAGGCAGACAGAAGATAAGACTCTGTCTCAAAAAAAAAAAAAAAAAAAAGAGTCACCCCAGGACCATGGCTGGCAAAGTGGGCCAAGGCTGCTTTTCAAACCCCCACTCTGGTCCAGCTCCGAAAGCCATGCACTGTCTTCCTGTTTCACATCCTGAATATAACCATCAGGTGACATTCATTGGTGGGAGCTACTGGGGTATGCGAGAACCAAGGAGAGTGAATTGGAACCGACTGGTCCGAGGGCCTGGTGACAAGAGATGGAGCATCCGCGAGTAATACCTTTGTGCGCCTCATTCGATCGCTAGACCCACACAGGAGAAAGACAGCCTATGCGGGAGAGAGATGCGCGGCCCAGGGTCTGACAGGCACCCATCTAGGTGTCTAGAAGATCACAAACTCAGCCCTGAGCACCTTATACCTGGCTGAGGCACTTGAATATCGGAAAATCATCGCGCGAAGGTAGCACACCGTACTGAAGCTTCAACCTCGCATATGTAGAGCTGCAAGGAAAATAGTAAACGCAGAGAGGCGAAGTCGAGGTGGGAGCTGCGCGACGCCTGTATTTCCAGCATTTGAAGGGGTCCACGAGTGGGAGAATCTTCGAGGCCAGAGCGGACGAGGACCACGCCCTCGGACTCTCGTCGGGCTCGAGTTGTAGAGCGAATCTTCCATGTCTACAAATTAACATTGTTAGTTTCATATCTTTATTGAGAAGCGAGTCAAGGCTCACCTAGGATACACTCTAGGCAACCAACATCAGGCATAGCTCGGCAGACATATAGCCAGTGGCGCAGCATTCAGCTGAATCCAAGGTCCAGAGAAAGATCTCGCTCAACTGCACCACCCGCTCCAGGTTTCAAGCAATTTCTCTGCCCAGCCTTCACTCCAGGAGTAGCTGGGACTACAGGCTCTTGCCCCAACGCCCCGACCTAATTTTTGTATTTTTTAGTAGACACGGGTTTCACCATGTTGGCTAGGCTGGTCTCAAACTCCTGACCTCAGGTGATCCACCCACACTAGGCCTCCTAAAACGCTGGGATTACAGGGCAGAGCCCACTGCACCCAGCCAACAAGCAATTTTTTATTATATTTATTTATTTTTTTGAGAACGGAGTCTCACTCTGTCGCCAAGGCTGGAGTGCAGTGGCCGGATCTCGGCTCACTGCAAGCTCCACTCCCGGGGTCCACCGCCATTCTCCTGCCTCAGCCTCCCGAGTAGCTGGGACTACAGGGGCGCCACGCCACTCGCTCCGGCTAGTTTTTTGTATTTTTTAGTAGAGACGGGGTTTCACCGTGTTAGCCAGGATGGTCTTGATCTCCTGACCTCGTGATCCACCCGTCTCGGCCTTCCAAAGTGCTGGGATTACAGGCTTGAGCCACCGCGCCCGGCCACAGCAATTTTTTAAAAAAATTAATCAGGTGTGGTGGTGCATGCCTGTGGTCCCAGCTACTTGGGAGGCTGAGGTGGGAGGATCATTTGAGCCCAGGAGTTGGAGCCTGCAGTGAGCTGTGATCACACCATTGCACTCTACCTTGAGCAACAGAGACCCTGTCTCTAAAATAATAATGGGTCCTATTCCAGGGGACCTATGAAATGAAAGCCTTTTAGTAGGTGGCAAGGGTGGTGGTTATTACTAATCAGTAAGAATGACTAGAGCGTTAGGCTCAAGGCCTGGGGGATTCTAGAATCTTCTGCATGACAGTTCTTGTCCTGAAGTAACTTGCCTTTTAGTAAAAAAGACGGGACTGAATGATAGAGTTGCCAGGTAAATTTTACACAGGACATACGTATAGTAAAAAATTATTCATTGTTTATCTGAAATTAAAATTTAACTGTAGTTTTATTTGCTAAGTCTGGCAATCTGAAATATACTGCATAAGAATAAAACCAGGCCGGGCATGGTGGCTCATGCCTATAATCCCAGCACTTTGGGAGGCTAGGGCAGAAGATCGCTTGAGCCCAGGAGTTTGAGACCAGCCTGGCCAACATAGAGAAACCTCATCTCTACAAAAAATGCAAAAGTTAGCTGGATGTGGTGCTGCACACCTGTAGTCCTAGCTACTCGGGAGGCTGAGATGGAAGAACTGCTTGAGCCAGGGAGGCAGAGGTTGCAGTGAGCCTAGATCACATCATTGCACTCCAGCCTGGGCAACAGAGCAAGACCCTGCCTCAAAATAAAGTTAAAATAAGATAAAAACCAAATGTGAACTTGTGTGGTGCACACGGCAGGTAGGGTAGCAGCTCAGACACAAGATGGAGGGCAAACTCTAGAAGGCAGCCTGGAGGCGGCAGCAGCCACAGCTAAGCTCATTAGGCATTTTGGAATGAGGAGAACTTACAGAGGAGGAGGGGTTTAAGACCGCTCAGCCATGGCTGTGCTACCTTCTCCCACCCTGCCAGAGCCAGTGTCGGAGCTGTGGGCCAACTTCACTCTGCGGGACAGAGGGTCAGGCCCCAGGGTGGAGATGTCCTGCCAGGCGTCCTCGGGCAGCCCACCCATCACCTACAGCCTGGTCGGGAAGGACGGGCAGGTCCACCTGCAGCAGCGACCACGCCACGGGCAGCCTGCCAACTTCTCCTTCCTGCCGGGCCAGACATCGGACTGGTTCCAGTGCCAGGCTGCAAACAGCGTCAATGTCCAGCACAGCGCCCTCACACTGGTGCCCCCAGGTGAGAAGGCCCTTGGATTTCCAGAGGGGCAGCTGGCGCTTCTGTGCTGGGAGGGTGCTAGTGTCCAAGACACAGGTCGGTGGGAAGTGGGACAGCTCTACCCGGCCACTGCCGAGAGCACAGAGGGCACAGGAGGCAACCATGCCCACCCTGGCCCCTGCCTAAAGGAAGCCCAACCCAGCTGCCTCCGCCCCGCTCCCAGGAGAGTTACCCAAGGCACCCACCATCATGCTGGCTGGCAGCCTCGCCTCCATTGCGGCTGTCACCTCCGGGATGCTGGGCTGGACCACGTGGGCCAGGCAGGAAATGGGTGCTGGATGCAGGGAGGAGGGAGAGCTGCTGATGGCCTGAGAGGTTCAGCCGGGCTCTGGCTGGGGAGCTCAGGTGGTGGGGCTTGCAGGGCAGGGCTCTGGCCAGGGCAAAGAAGGGCCGTCACCGCTTATGCACGACTCGAAGGTGTTTATGAGGACCTACTGTGTGTCACATGCCTACTGAGGCTTACACGTTCAAGGCGTTGTCGAACCCTGGTCAGTGCTCCCAGTTGCCCTGTAATGGAGTCTGCTGGCCTCTGGGAGGGCAGTCTCTAAGTTCTTTTTTTTTTTTTTTTTTTTGAGACGGAGTCTCGCGCTGTGTCACCCAGGCTGGAGTGCAGTGGCGCGATCTCGGCTCACTGCAAGCTCCGCCTCCCAGGTTCACGCCATTCTCCTGCCTCAGCCTCCGAGTAGCCGGGACTACAGGCGCCCGCCACCACGCCCGGCTAGTTTTTTGTATTTTTAGTAGAGACGGGGTTTCACCATGTTAGCCAGGATGGTCTCGATCTCCTGACCTCGTGATCCACCCGCCTCGGCCTCCCAAAGTGCTGGGATTACAGGCTTGAGCCACCGCGCCCGGCCGTCTCTAAGTTCTTTATGGGGTCTGAGCAGGGATGCAGCGATGATGACTCCAGGAGACCAAGGTGGACCAGGAGCTCCTGCCTTCTGTAAGAACCACATTGGGCAGTCTTTCCCAGGTGGTGGCAAGAGCCTGGGGCCCAGCCTCCCAGGGTCCCCTCTCCAAAGCCGTGGCTTTACTGACATGTAAGGTGACCAGGGCCTTTGTAGTGTCTGAGCGCAGGCACCACAGCCTGTGTGCTCTGCCTGTCTGGCCTTGGTGGTGGCCAGCCCTGCCTCTGTGAACTCACCTCTCTTTGTTTGGAAGACACTGCTGTGTCCTGGTTCTCATCCTCTGCGGTGGCCCAGGCACTTACGTGGCTCTGCCAGGACTCTGTCCTTGGCACTCTCCCATCTCACTTCTGCCAAGTCTGTCCTTTCCAGAGGCCAGACTCATGGGTGAGCCATGTCACTTCGCTGAGCCTCAGTTTTTCCTTCTGTAAAATGGGGTACAGCCTTCATTTAGTGGGGTAAGCCCTCATGTCTCTCCTGCTGGAGCGTTGATGTGCTTGGCACCATAAAACTCCCAGAGGCAGGCCGGGCACGGTGGCTCACGCCTGTAATCCCAGCACTTTGGGAGGCTGAGGCAGGTGGATCACCTGAGGTCAGGAGTTGGAGACCAGCCTGGCCAACATGGAGAAACCCCGTCTCTACTAAAAATACAAAATTAGCCAGGCGTGGTGGTGCATGCCTGTAATCCCAGCTACTCGGGAGGCTGAGGCAGGTGAATCACTTGAACCCGGGAGGTGGAGGTTGCAGTGAGCCAAGATTGCGCCCTTGCACTCCAGCCTGGGCAAAAAGAGCGAATCTCTGTCTCAAAACAAACAAACAAACAAACAAACAAACACTCCCAGATGCCTCGGGAGGGGATGGCTGGGAGATGAGCCTGCCTGACTTGAGTCTCCACTGCTTTGTCATCAAGGTCATGACCAGAAGATGGAGGACTGGCAAGGTCCCCTGGAGCGCCCCATGCTTGCCTTGCTGCCCTATAGGAGCACCGACCATCTGAGTGAAGAGGAGCTTGGGGTGTTCAGGACAGGGAATGGGGAGGTCAGAAGATGCAAAGCAGCAGCCATGTAGAATGAACCGTCCAGAGAGCCAAGCACGACAGAGGGTTGCAGACAATCGGCGTGCACTGTTCGTATTTGGAGTTCATGCAGAATGAGTGTGTTTTAGCTACTCTTGTCACAAAAACAAAACAAAACAAAAAAAATGGGTAACTATGAGAGATGGTGGATATGTTAACTTGCTTCACTATAGGAACTTTTGTGCTATCTATATGAATCCCATAATAGCAGGTTGTCTACCTTAAATATACACAAAAACATTTATTTAAAAAAAAGAAAAAACCTGCCACGTGGGATTCTTGGAACCCTGGTGACTTTCAGCAAACGCTGACAGTGTTGGTGTGAGGGCTTGAGGAGGGTCACAGAAAGGAGGGGTCTCTGTGGCCTTGTCCTCACCTCTCAGGTGCTGTCACATCTCTCCGGGTGTGGGGAGAGGGAGGGGGGCACACTGGGGAAAGGCCCAGCCCCTCCCCCGCACCTTCTCCCCTCTTCCCTGGAGGGGCACCCCACCTCCTGGTGGCACAGTCCTCTGGTTCAGCTCTCACGTGGACCAGCTCACCTGGGTGGACTCTGAGCCCCACCTGGCACACCTGCTCTTGTTAATCTGCACCTGCAGTTAGCAAAGGGGGGTCTGGAATTCTTCCGGGCTCAGTCAGCCTGTGACCCCACACCTCTGTCTGTACAACCTCCGCTCCCCCTCCAACACACACAGAGCCTGCCTTCCCTGCACGGGAGGCTCTGTACCGGTTTTTCTTGGGATGGAGGTAGAGAGGGATGGAGGTGAGAAGGGGCTGGAACTGGATTAAATTTTGCCCCCTGCCTGTCGCCCTGAAAACTTCGTTTCTGTTTGCATGCCTTTTTTTTTTTTTTTTTGATATGGAGTCTTACACTGTCGCCCAGGCTGGGGTGCAGAGGCACGATCTTGGTTCACTGCAAACTCTGCCTCCTGGACTCAGGAGATTCTCCCACCTCAGCCTCTGGAGTAGCTGGGATTACCACCACGCCTCGCTAACTTTTGTTTTTGGTTTTTTGGGTTTGTTGGTTTGTTTTGAGACGGACTCTTGCTCTGCTGCCCAGGCTGGAGTCTAGTGGCTTGATCTCAGCTCACTGTCACCTCCACCTCCCAGTTTCAAAAACTTCTCCTGCCTCAGCCTCCCAAGTAGCTAGGATTACAGGCGCTCACCACCATGCCCAGCTAATTTTTTGTTGTTGTATTTTTAGTAGAGACGGGATTTTGCCATGTTGGCCAGGCTGGTCTCAAACCCCTGACCTCAGGTGACCCACCTGCCTCGGCCTCCCAAAGTGCTGGGATTACAGGCGTGAGCCACCGTGCCCGGTCTTGCACACTATCTTAAGTGTGAAGCCACACTGCCCTTCACAGCCTTGGGGCTCTGCCCAGACCAGGAGGAATGGGGGTCTTTGACCCTACCCCAGGTTTAGTCCCAGAGAGGAGGAAAGAGTGGCAGGCCAGGCAGGGAGGGGGCTCCAGGGTGTGACCTGGGTTTTTCAGTGGGATGGGGGAGGGGGTGCTTATGAGCCTGGGTGGGTTCTTGGTAGGTGGTGGGCTTCCTAGAGGAGGCGGCGGGAGGGCAGGGGCAAAGAGGGTGAGTGGTCCTCCGTTCGTCCGTTTTCCTGGGGGACTCTCTTACCCTTTCTGGTCCGTGCTGTGGCCGGCGTGGCCCGGGAACTAGCCCCTCGACCCCGAGGTAGGGTGGACACCGGTGCTCCGCGGCCAGAGCCCCTCCCAGCCGCTAGAAGCGCAGTCCCGCGGCCCGCCGCCGCTCGCGAGGGCCGCACTTTGCCCTCGGTCCCTAGCGGTGCCTGGCCACGCCCCCGGCGGGTGGAGCGGGGCGGGGCGCCGGGCAGGTTCCTCAGCGTTCCGCGGCGGCGGCGGCGGCGGTGGCGGCGGCGGCGGCGACGGCGACGGCGACATGGAGAGTGGGGCCTACGGCGCGGCCAAGGCGGGCGGCTCCTTCGACCTGCGGCGCTTCCTGACGCAGCCGCAGGTGGTGGCGCGCGCCGTGTGCTTGGTGAGCCCGGGGAGGGCGGGCCGGGGCACTCCGGGGACCCCCCCTGCCACCAGGCCCGGCGGGGCCCCTGGCCCACGAGCGCGACAGGTGGCGGCGGCCGCGTCCGGGGCCTGGCGGCGAGCGGGGCCGGCCTCCAGCGTCCCGGGCCCCGCCTTCCCGCCTTCCGCAGTCTGTCCCACTGTTTCCTCCCAGTCCCGGGTCCCGCCATCCACCCCACCCCACCCCCAGCCCCGCGCTCCGACGCGGGGTGTCCCGAGGCTCCGCAGGGAGCGGGCCCCTGCCTCGCTGGCAGTGGGAGGAGTTTGGGGGCAGCTCCCGAACAGGTGGCCCGCACGCCGCCGCGACTCCCAGCTTGTGGAGTTCACCGGGACTGGGCTTTCCCAAGCCACGTGGGATAAGGGAGGGGGCGGGGGGCAACCCAACGCCATGAAACAGGGTCTCCTTCCCACTCGGGGCAGGCCACGGGTCCGCCTTCCCATCCGAAGTTGAGGGACCCCAGGATGTACCCCCTCTCAATAAGCTGGGCAATACCTCCAAAACCAGGCTTTGTGTGTTGAGGGGGCCTGTTCTTGGACAGCCAGCCCTGAAAGCTGGAGGGGGTGTCATGAGGGGGCAGGCAGAGGTGGACCTGCTGTGCCCAGACCATGCCTTCTGAGGTCCCTCAGGGCGCCCACACCCGCTCCCAGCCAGGCTGTGGGGTCTGACCGCCTGGAGCTTCTGAGGTCCCCCAGGGCACCCACACGTGCTCCCAGCCAGGCTGTGGGGTCTGACCACCTCTGTCCTGGGCTGTGTCCAAGAATCAGGTGCCCAGTGGGTCGGGATGACAGTGCCAGGAGTCCTGGATGGGCACCCTGCTCCCATCATCCCGGAGGTCCGGCTTCATTTCTAGCTGGGGGCGGGGCCTGTGACTGCCAGCTCCAGAGCCCTGTAGGGAGCTCCCTGGGAGGGGACGGCAGGACTGGCAAGGGAGAGGCCTGGGACCATCCCAGAGGGAGCCTTATGCCCAGAGACCTGTCCCACATCTGCTGAGGTGGAGCAAGCATGGGTGGTGGCCTTGAAGTTTAGGGAGGTGGCATGGGGCTCTTCCCAAGGGACTGGAGCCCCCCTACACCCACCCTGGGTCCTCCAGGGGTCTGAGTTCAAAGCTGTATCCACAGGCCTGAGTTAGGCCCCTTGTAGTGCCCTGTGCATGCAGGGCCCTTTGCGGGTTGGGAGACAGACTGGGAGGGACCAGGATGCCACAGAGGCTGGAAGTCCTTGTCTGGAGAAAGCTGGCCAGGCTCAACCAGGGAGGGGTCAGAGGGGGTTCCAGGAGGTGAAGACACGGGGTCGCCGGAATGGCCTTCCCAAGAGGGCCTGTCCGCCTTCACCAAGGTGTTCAGGCAGAGGCTGGGCGCTGTAGAAGTGACTTGGGCTGAAGGTGACGGGGACTGGGTGAGACTCTGTGACTTGGTGGCCTGTCTTGTTTAAACCTCTTTCAAGGTGAGGTTGGGCTGGGGGTGGAAGGACGGCCTTTCATCCATCAGGTACCTAAACAGAATGATTCCTGCAGGTAGGCAGCTGGGGCAGGAGCAGCCCCTACCTAGGAGGTCCCTGCCCATTCCCCACCCCTCCTCAGTCCAGGATTCCCAGGGGCAGGCCCCCTGGTGCCTGCAGATTCTAATCCTGGGGTGCACCAGGAAGCACTTTGCTCATCAGCTCACCTCCACAAAGTTTGGAGGGGCTAACATGCCAGCCTCCAAAAGGGGACAACAGGCCAGGCGAGGTGGCTCATGCCTATAATCCCAGCACTTTGGGAGGCCGAGGAGGGCTGATCACCTGAAGTCTGGAGTTCCAGACCAGCCTGGCCAATATGGTGAAACCCTATCTCTACTAAAAATACAAAAATTTGGCTGGGCGCGGTGGCTCAAGCCTGTAATCCCAGCACTTTGGGAGGCCGAGACGGGTGGATCACGAGGTCAGGAGATCGAGACCATCCTGGCTAACACGGTGAAACCCCGTCTCTACTAAAAATACAAAAAACTTAGCCGGGCGTGGTGGCGGGGCCTGTAGTCCCAGCTACTTGGGAGGCTGAGGCAGGAGAATGGCGTGAACCCGGGAGGCAGAGCTTGCAGTGAGCTGAGATCGCACCACTGCACTCCAGCCTGGGCGACAGAGCGAGACTCCGTCTCAAAAAAAATAAAATAAAATAATAAAAATAAATAAAAATACAAAAATTAGCAGGTGTGGTGGAGGGCACCTGTAATCCCAGCTACTAGGGAGGCTGAGGCAGAATTGCTTGAACCCAGGAGGCAGAAAATGCAGTGAGCCCAGACCGCACCACTGCACTCCAGCCTGGGCAACAAGAGCAAGACTCCATCTCAAAAAACAACAACAAAAACCCAAAAGGGGGCAGCAGTGGTGGGAGAGGCCTGCGTCTGTACACCCCATTGGGGTCCCTGCTGTGTGTGCCCCTCAGGCGGCCACCAGCCCTACCAGGCCCTCCTCTCCCGGCAGGTCTTCGCCTTGATCGTGTTCTCCTGCATCTATGGCGAGGGCTACAGCAACACCCACAAGTCTAAGCAGATGTACTGCGTATTCAACCACAATGAGGATGCCTGCCGCTATGGCAGTGCCATCGGGGTGCTGGCCTTCCTGGCCTCGGCCTTCTTCTTGGTGATCGACGCATATTTCCCCCAGATCAGCAACGCCACTGACCGCAAGTACCTGGTCATTGGTGACCTGCTCTTCTCAGGTATCTGCCTGTGGCACCTCCATTTGATCTTGGGAGGTGACTAGGAAGGGGATGCATTAGCTCTGGGGTTCCGCAGCTGGGGGGCCTCGGCCTCTCTGGGAGGGCAGGGAGCAGCTCACTCCTCCAGGGCACTTTTAGGAAAGGGTTTTCAGCTAGCGTTTCTCCTTGCTTGAATGGCCCCAGCCCTGCCTGGGGTAGCTAGAAGCTGAGTGGACCCCCAGCACACCCGAGCAGATGGGCTTTGCCTCTGCCGTTTGTCCCCTAGGTTGTCTGCTGGGACCCACCATGCCAAGGCGGATCCCAGCCCGGCTTCCAAGTCCTCCCCTCCATATCGTGGAGGCTCCCGGGAGGTCCCTGCCTAGGCCCTGCCCTACCTGCCCTGTCCCCTCCCAGAGTCCTGGAAAGCCCCTCCCTTTCCATGGAACTGACACCCCACCCGTCCTCCCCCAGCTCTCTGGACCTTCCTGTGGTTTGTTGGTTTCTGCTTCCTCACCAACCAGTGGGCGGCCACCGACCCGAAGGACGTGCTGGTGGGGGCCGACTCTGCGAGGGCAGCCATCACCTTCAGCTTCTTTTCCATCTTCTCCTGGGTAGGACGGCCAGGGGCCGGTTCTTGGGGTCTTGGGTAAAGGGTGGTAGAAGGTGGGGTCCCCCACCCACCTGTACCCCTCTGTGCCCTCCCTGCAGGGTGTGCTGGCCTCCCTGGCCTACCAGCGCTACAAGGCTGGCGTGGATGACTTCATCCAGAACTACGTCGACCCCACCCCGGACCCCAACACTGCCTATGCCTCCTACCCAGGTGCATCTGTGGACAACTACCAACAGCCTCCCTTCACCCAGAATGCGGAGACCACCGAGGGCTACCAGCCGCCCCCTGTGTACTGAGTAGCAGTTAGGGTGGGAAGGGGCACAGAGAGGGCCCTCCCCTCTGCCCTGGACTTCCCCATGAGCCTCCTGAAACTGCCAGTCCCCGTCTTTCGCCTGTTCTACCCTGTGCAGCTGACACACAGCTGAAGAGCCTCCCAGCCTAGCGGGGGCTGGCAGAGCCACACAGTGCCTGTGCCCGGAGGGCTTCAGTCAGCCTCTCACTCCTCCAGGGCACTTTTAGGAAAGAGTTTTTAGCTAGTGTTTTTCCTTGCTTTTAACGACCCCAGCCCCGCCTGGAGTGGCTAGAAGCCAGCAGGCACCCATGTGCTGCTGACAAGTGCCTCAGCTTCCCCGGCCTGGGTCAGGCTGTGGGAGCCGCTGTTATCTGCGTTCTCTGCCAAAGACTCGTGGGGGCCATCACACCTGCCCTGTGCAGCGGAGCTGGACCAGGCTCTTGTGTCCTCACTCAGGTTTGCTTCCGCTGTGCCCACTGCTGTATGATCTGGGGGCCGCCACCCTATGCCGGTGGCCTCTGGGCTGCCTCCCATGGCGTGAGGGCGGGCTGGTGCTCACGGCACTTCCTCCTTGCTCCCACCCCTGGCAGCAGGGAAGGGCTTTGCCTGACAACACCCAGCTTTATGTAAATATTCTGCAGTTGTTACTTAGGAAGCATGGGGAGGGCAGGGGTGCTCCATGGCTCCCAGACTGTCTGTGCCGAATGTATTATAAAGCCTTGGGGGAGATACCCGGCCCTGGGATGCTGTTTGGAGACAGAATAAATGTTTTCTCAGTCAGTCTCTAGTCATTGGTTGAGCCACAGCCTAGGGGTTGGAGGAAGACTCCCCTCTGGGTACACCCTTAGGGGCTGGCTTTATGGAACTTGTATTTTGAACAAGACAGTGGCAGTCCGCCCCCTCCAGCCTGCCTGGCTGGCCCCCTTCCCTCTATCTGGGGTCGCATTCCGCACAAGCCTTTCATCATCTTAAAATAGTAACTGTGCTCAGCCTGTAAACAAGATTTTTCTGGCCTGCAGTGCCAGGGTCCTGCTGCTCCCTTCCTAGAGTTGGGGTGGGGGTACCTGGGAGTTGCCGGTGAACGCCCCTTCCCTGTAACCTTTCCCAGCACTGAATGAGGGGTGCCATGGCTAAGACCAGG